GTGATGATGGCCTTCAAAATGCCCTCTGCCTGGCACATAGTTGTGACCCTGGGGTTTCCAAATTGAGATATTTAGTCATTGTGCTTGGGATTTCCTTTACTTCATATCTGTGTTAGGTTCTGTTTCTTCCTCTTTCTATGGTTACATTGCTAATTTTTTTTTTTTTTTTTTTTTTTTTTTTTTTTTTTGAGATGGAGTCTCACTCTGTTGCTTGGGCTGGAGTGCAGTGGTGTGATCTTGGCTCACTGCAACCTCTGCCTCCCAGATTCAAGCAATTTTCCTGTCTCAGCCTCCCGAGTAGCTGGGACTACAGGCGCCCGCCACTACGCCCAGCTAATTTTTTGCATTTTTAGTAGAGATGGGGTTTCACCGTGTTGGCCAGACTGGTCTCGAACTCCTGACCTCAGGTAATCCGCTCACCTTGGCCTCCCAAAGTGCTGGGATTACAGGTGTGATCCTGTGGAGGGTCTCCTCAAATACTTTTTTTTTTTTTCTCAAATACTTTTATGAAAAAATATACATGATACATGTTTTGAGGCTTTGCATGTTTGAAACTGTCTTTATTTTACACTAACGTTTGAATTGTAATTTTGATGGGTTTAGAACTCCAGGTCAAAAATAATATCCTTTCAGAATTTTGAAAGCATTGCATATATGGTTTAATCAATAATTATAAGACAAACCTTGACAAAATCTCCACATGGATCAAAAAGTGCAGCGTTGAGGACATGCCAGTGGCTCCCTGCGTTCCTCTCTCTAGTGGTAGCTCAGTCCTTCCCTTGATTTGGTTAATCATTCTCTTTAATTGCCACATATGTATGTATCACTAAATGGTATAGTTTATTTTTGCCTTATGGGTTTTATATGAATTAAATTCATCCATGTCTGGCTTCTTTCACTCAACATTATATTTGTAAGGTACATCAGGCCAGGCATAGTGGCTGACCACTGGAATCCTAACACTTTGGGAGGCTGAAGTGGGAAGATCACTTGAGTCCAAGAGTTTGAGACCAGCCTGGGAAGCATTAGGAGACCCCATCTCTATTTGGGCAAAAAAAAAAAAAAAATCAGATTCATCCATTTTGCTGTAGCTCTGGTTGTTTTACTTTTCATTGCTGTACCATTCTACTGTATAAAACTACCACTATCTCTTCTGTCTTGATGAACATTTGGGTTATTTTTAGTTTGGAGCCATTGGAAATAATGCTACTCTGGAACATTACTGTACATGTATCCTGGCTATTACGTGATAAATTCTGGGATGTATATCTAGGAATGAAATTGCTGAGTCATAGAAGGTATGTCTCTAACTTTACCAGCTTCTATTGTCTTCTCGTGCTACTTTGAATCTGGGAGCCATTACGATTCTCAGTGCTTTGTCTGTGGAAGCTTTTCTAGGCTCTCTTCTTTGTTCCCTGTTGCTATTGTTTGAAGGAAGTCCCTTCCAAACTTCACATTGAAACTTAATTCTCATTGCAACAGTGTTAAGCAGTGTGGCCTATAAGAAGTGATTAAGTCATGAGAGCTCCACTCTTCACCTTCTGACGACTAATCTCTCATGAAAGATTAGCATCCTTATAAAAGGGCTTGAGGTTGAAGGGAGTGCTCTCTTGCCCTCTGTCTCTCCTGCCATGCAGCATTTGACCCCTCCCAAGGACGCAGCAACAAGGCTCCATCTTGCAGTGGAGACTGGGCTGTAACAAGACACCAGACCAACTGGCACCTTTATCTTGGACTTCCAGCCTCCAGAACTGTGAGAGAGAAATTTTCTGTTTATAAGTTCCAGTCTGTGGTATTTTGTTATAGGAGCACAAATAAACTAAGACACCAGTGTTCTGAAATTTCAATGATGTGTCACGTAATTGATTTTTTTTTTTTAAATGATGGAGTCTTACTCTGTTGCCCAGGTTGGAGTACGGTGGCACGATCTCAGCTTACTTCAACCTCCGCCTCCTGGGTTCAGGCAATTCTCCCACCTCAGCCTCCTGAGTTGCTACAATTCAGGCGTCTGTCAACATCCCCAGCTAATTTTTGTATTTTTAGTAGAGATGGGGTTTGACTATGTTGCCCAGGATGGTCTCAAACTCCTGACCTCAGGTGATCTGCCAGCCTTGGCCCCCCAAAGTGCTGGTATTACAGGCATGAGCCACCACGCCTGGCCAATCTGTTTTCACTTACTGTGGTGGACACTTAAAGGGCCCCTTCTACATGGAAATGCATATTCTTCAGTTTTGAATTATTTTGTTGTTGTTTTCTTTCCTCTGTGTTCTCTGCTCTTTTTTTCTGGAACTCTCTCTTTGGATGCTGGACCTTCTGAACTAGTCCTTGAATTTTCTGTTCATAGTTAAAAATGAATACCTAGGGCCAGTGCGTTGGCTTACGCCTGTAATCCCAGCACTTTGGGAGGCTGAGGCAGGCAGATACCTTGAGCTCACAAGTTTGAGACCAGCTTGGGCAACATGGTGAAACCCCTCTGTACAAAAATATACAAGAATTAGTGGGGCTTGGTGGTGCACACCCGTAGTCCCACCTACTTGGGGGACTGAGGTGGGAGGATCACTTGACTCCAGGAAGTCGAGGCTGCAGTGAGCTGAGATTGCCCCACTGAACTCTAACCTAGATGACAAAATGAGACCCTGTCTCAAAAATAAACAGTGAAGACTTAAAAAGCCAATTAGAGGCTGGGCACGGTGGCTCACACCTGTAATCCCAGCACTTTGGGAGGCCGAGGTGGGCAGATCACAAGGTCGAGAGATCGAGACCATCCTGGCCAACATGGTGAAACCCCATCTCTACTAAAAATACAAAAATTAGCTGGGCGTGGTGGCACACGCCTGTGGTCCCAGCTATTCGGGAGGCTGAGGTGGAAGAATAGCTTGAACCCAGGAGGCAGAGGTTACAGTGAGCTGAGATTGCACCACTGCACTCCAGCCTGACGTCAGAGCAAGACCGCTGTCTCAAGGAGGGAAAAAAAAGCCAATTGGAAGGTCTAAGCATCTGGTTAGGGTTCATGACTTGGATCTTCACTAAGGTGATCTGGCAGGGGCATTTGCTGGGGAACCCTAGATGTTAGTATATTTAGGATTGTTTCCTTTTCCATTGGCCAGATTCTCCAGATTCCTCTGGATGGGAATAAAGACCTGGCTGCCAGTGTTTTGGGAGCAGAAAGGGAGAGCTGGAGGACTTCAGCATTCAGTCTGTGTGTGTGCAGGCATGTCACTTAATTGCCCTGCTTTCACTGTGGAACTCATAACCCTTATCCCACCATCCAGACAACCTCTATTCAACCCTCTCCAGAGATTGCACCCTTAGGCCTTCCCTTGGTGTGCGAGATGGGGAGTTGCCCAGCAACATGGAATGGGAGAGGAGATCTAGAGAACTAGTGGAAGACTCATGACTTCATTTGATCTTTACAGGACCAAAATATCAAAAGGTCTGAGCTTTAGACCCCCTTTTGGAGAGGCAGGTGGGGGTGGGATAACTGGACTGGTTTTTTGGTAGATAAAACATCACATGACAAAACGTTTGGTAGTTTTTGCTTTTAAATTAATTTGTAATCAAAACCCAATAAGTTTGTGTCTTAATAGATAACCTTTAATTACCTTAAGGCTTAATTTATGACAGGATGACACAGACACATATATACATAATCAAATTTATGAATTTTACCTTTCTAAACATACATTCCTTATGAGTTATGTTGATGAAAGTAAATTTTTGGTTTCTCATGATCTCATCTGTGTATCATCATGTGATTATTCCTTGTAACCTAATACTTATGGAGATTTTATGTAATCTAATGCTCATGGCCATTTCCTGTAGGGCACCTGGAACAAATCATTCTACACTATTTAGGTTGTTTAGGAAAACTGTAACTAGAGTTTTCTAAAAACTATAACGTATGATTGGGGGTATAGGATGTTACCCATGTGATTTTACTTCTGGATGTATCTCATATTTATTCATTTTAATTATAATTTTTTTTTTTGAGATGAATCTCTCTGTGTTGCCCAAACTGGAGTACGGTGGCATGATCTCAGCTCACTGCAACCTCCACCTCCCAAATTCAAGCAATTCTCCCTGCCTCAACCTCCTGAGTAGCTGGGATTACAGGTGCCTACTACCATGCCTGGCGAACTTTTCTATTTTTAGCAGAAATGGGGTTTTGCCATGTTGGCCAGGCTTATCTCAAACTCCTGACCTCAGGTGATTTACCTACCTAGGCCTTCCAATGTACTGGGATTACAGGTGTGAGCCTTTAAGCCTGGCTTCATATTTAAATATGAAGGTGGTTACTGGGACTATACCTTACCTGTCTTATCAGATGTCTCTCTACTGCGTATTAAAATTCAGAGAGTTAACCTTTTCCCTTTAATTCCTTTATCAAAAAGGGCTTTTTGAATATTTGCTATGTACACAGAATGGTTCCTTTCACTCAGTAAACTTAGAGACTAGTTGAAGAGACAAACTTGCACAAATGTAACAAAGTGATAAATGCATTTTTAAAAGATCATAAGAAGGGAATTTTTGTTTTTATACAGAATAAATATATTTAAAAATAATTTTGTGTAGGCCAGGTGCAGTGCCTCACACCTGTGATCCCAGCACTTTTGGAGGCCAAAGTGGGTGGATTGCTTGAGCCCAGGAGTTTGAGACCAGCCTGGGCAACATGGTGAAACCCCATCTCTACAAAAAATACAAAAATTAGCTGGGCATGGTGGCACCTGTAGTTCCAGCTAGGAGGGACTACTTGGGAGGCTGAGGTGGGAGGATCCCTTGAGCCCAGGAGTTGGAGGTTGCAGTGAGCTAAGATCAAGCCACTGTACTTCAGCCTGGGCAACAGAGCAGGACCCTGTTTAAAAAAAAAAAAAAAAAAAGTAAGATGTGATTATTATATGTGGTAAATAGGAAACCTAGAAAGCCAGTTTCTGAAGGACAAGAAAATACTGAGCAACTGACACGGCTTAGCCAAAAAGAGTAATTTCATTTCTTAATCCCAGGAATGGAAGATTGTGAAACAATGGAAGATGTATACATGGCTTCAGTAGAAACAGATCGAGGAGTAAAAGAACAGTTACATCTTTATGACACCAGAGGTCTACAGGAAGGCGTGGAGCTGCCAAAACATTATTTTTCATTTGCTGATGGCTTTGTTCTTGTGTACAGTGTGAATAACCTTGAATCCTTTCAAAGAGTGGAGCTTCTGAAGAAAGAAATCGATAAGTTCAAAGACAAAAAAGAGGCAAGTGGATGTGTTAAAAATGCCACATGTTAATTACACCATGTAAATTATAGCACAGACTTTGGGTAGTTTATTTTCAGATCATTACATTCTTAATGTCTGTAAAACCTTTACAATTTTTTTTCTTTTGAGATGAAGTCTTGCTCTGTCGCTCAGGCAGGAGTGCAGAGTGCAATGGTGTGATCTTGGCTCACTGCAACCTTTGCCTCCCAGGTTCAAGTGATTCTCCTTCCTCAGCCTCCCAAGAACCTGGGATTACAGGCGTTTGCAACCATGCCCAGCTAATTTTGGTATTTTTAGTGAGGACAGGGTATCACCATGTTGGCCAGGCTGGTTTCAAACTCCTGACCTCAAGTGCTCTGCTGGCTTCAGCCTTCCAAAGTGCTGGGATTACAGGCAGGAGCCACTGTGCCCAGTCTATAATTTTTTTCTTAATCCAAGAAATACAGGACTGACTGAATTTAGTCAGGACCAGAATTTGGCTGTCTGCCTTTTGCTTGTTACCATGTACAAGTTGCATTTTAATGACTTCTTATCTCAATTACTACATAACTCATTTTATGATGTTTGGGATTGCTATTTCCTTGTGCTTTTTATTATCTCCTTGGGTACATAGGATTCTTGTCTTCAGCCTTACACACAAAAAAAAGAAACCTAATAATTATTGGATTCTACCCATATACCCCTTAAACATAAGACTCTTATGCCGTACAATGGTCTGTAAACATTTAGATTACCTGGCCCATGCCTATCCTTTTCATCTTGTCTTTGTCATCTATCCATCTCTCACTATACTCCAGTGACACTGACACTGGTCTGCTTTCTGTTTTTTTCAACATGGTAGTTTTGTTCTCCTATTAAGCTTTCTCAATTGCTTGTTTCCATGCCTGGAACTCTCTTATCTCAGCTCTTTCTCCAGATCCTCACATGGCAGACTCTTCATTGTCTAGGGAACCAGATAATATACTGGGTAACAATACTGGCTGGATGGTAGGAAAAAACCAAACAACAACAAAAAGTACCGGCTAGATGTTCTTAACCTAGATTTTTATATATTTTTGTTAAGCTTTTTATTTTGAGACAATTATGGAGTCACATGCGATTTTAAGAAGCAGCACAGAGATCCCTTACCCAGTTTGCCCCAGACCTACCATCTTGAAAATTCTGATACATTATAACCAGCATTTGTGTAGATTCAGCCAAGATACAGAACATTTCCATCACCACAAAGTTCCCTCATGTTACCCTTTTATAGCTGCCCCACTTCCCTCCCATCTTCACCCCCACCTTAACCTTTGGTAACCACTAATCTGGTCTCCATTTCTATAATTGTGTCATTTCAAGAGTGTTATAGAAATCAGTGGTCCCCAACATTTTTGGCACCAGGGACGGGTTTTGTGGATGACAGTTTTTCCACAGATGGAGTGGGGGTGGTTTGGGGATGAAACTGTTCCTCCTCAGATCATCAGGCATTAGATTCTCAAAAGGAGCATGCATCCTGGATCCCTCACATGCACAGTTCACAAGTAGATTCTCAAGCTCCTGTGAGAATGTCATGCTGCTGCTGATCTGGCAGGAGGCGGAGCTCAGGCGGTAATGCTCGCTTGCTTGCTGCTCACCTCCTGCCGTGCAGCCTGGTTTCTAACAGGCGCTGGACCCGTACCAGCGCATGACGTAGGGGCTGGGGACCCCTGATTTAAAAGCATACAATATGTAAAAATCTTTTGGGATTGGCTTTTTTCACTCACATGATCCTCTGGAGAGTCGTCCAAATCACCACGGGTATCGGTAGTTGATTTTTTTCTTGCTGAGTAGTGTTCCATGGTTGTACCAAACTCTCTTTAACCATTTACTTGTGGTAGGACTTCTGGGTTATTGATATTTAGAATATTAATTTACTTTGTGACTAGATACAGTATTCACAAAGCTCAGTCTTTATTTATTTTCTTCTGTGGACCTGTGGAGGCCGTAGAAAAGATCTAAGAAGGCATGAAAGCTCCTCTACCCCCTATTTCCCATCTTTCTGACCTAAAGAGGCAAGGCAAATGCTGTAATTATTTACCTAGGTATCCTCCAGAGACCCTTCTTTGCCCCACAAAAATTGAAAGGTCAGTGAACACTCATGTACTAGATACGTAACTCTTGGCTTTTCTCCTCAGCTTTTCTGCTTCAATTTCCTTATCTCTAAAATGAGAATAATAGTACCTTCCTCACATGCTTCAATCCCCCCATAGTTATATTACTTCAGTGAATGCTTGTTGAGCAACTGCTATGTGCCACGCGTTGTTCTAGGTTCAGGGAATGCGGTAGAGAACAAAACAGTCCATATCCCCATAAAGCTTCCATTTTGGGAATGGGAGAGACGGTAAATAAATATATTTAATACATTACAAAGAGAGATGCTATTTGGAAAAGCAGAATGGGGAATGAGGGTGCTATTTTCTTTTCTTTTTTTTTTTTTTTTGAGACGGAGTTTTGCTCGTTACCCAGGCTGGAGTGCAATGGCGCGATCTCGGCTCACCGCAACCTCCGCCTCCTGGGTTCAGGCAATTCTCCTGCCTCAGCCTCCTGAGTAGCTGGGATTACAGGCACGCACCACCATGCCCAGTTAATGTTTTGCATTTTTAGTAGAGACGGGGTTTCACCATGTTGACCAGGATGGTCTCGATCTCTTGACCTCATGATCCACCCGCCTCGGCCTCCCAAAGTGCTGGGATTACAGGCGTGAGCCACCGCGCCCAGCCTGAGAGTGCTATTTTCTGTAGAGTGACTTCAGCAGATAATTGAAGGAAGTGAAGAAGGAGGGAGCAAAGCTGATGTCTGGAGGGAAGAGTGCTCCAGGTAGAGGGAGGAGCTGGTGCCAAGGATCTGAGGTTGGAATTTGCTTGCCATGTTCAGGAAATTGCAGTGAAGCCAGAGTGGGCTAGGAGGTGTTGTAGGTGATGAGGGCACTTTGCCTTTCACTTTTAGTGAGATCAGAAGGCACTGGTTTGGGGCAAAGGAATGACGTATGACTTCAGTTATTTATTTTCATGTTTGGTTTTAAAAAATTGAACAGGTAATGTTTGCACATGGTTCAAAAATGAAAATCCTATATGAAAAGAACTGTTCCTTCTGCCACCAAGATCCTGTACGTCAAGCATGCTTTTTAAAATATTTCACCCCTTTACTAGTTTTGGGGCAGTTGTCCAGAGTTTCTTTATATAAATACAAGTGAATAGGAGTATACATTAAAAAATATTTTTCTCCTTTTTTTTCCCCCTTATTTCAGACATAGTCTCACTCTGTTGCCCAGACTGGAGAGCTATGGCATGATCATAGCTCGTTGCAGCCTAGAACTCCTGGGCTCTGGTAACCTCCTGCCTCAGTCTCCTGAGTAGCTGGGACTACAGGCGTGCATCACCATGCTTGCCTAATTTTTTTTTTTGGTAGAGACAAGGTCCTGCTATGTTGCCCAGGCTGGTCTCCAACTCCTGAATTCAAGTGATCCTCCTGCCTTGGCCTCCCAAAGTGCTGGGATTACGAGTGTGAGCCACTGTGCCTAGCCTTTTTCCCCTTTCTAACACGAGGTAGCATACTATCTTGTACCTTCTATTTTTCATGTAACATATCTTGGAGTTATTTCCATATCAGTACCCAGATTTTTCTTTTTTTTTTTTTTTTTTTTTGAGAGTCTTGATCTGTCGCCAGGTGCCAGGCTGGAGTGCAGTGGCACAATCTCTACTCACTGCAACCTCTGCCTCCTGGTTTCAAGCAATTCTCCTGCCTCAGCCTCCCGAGTAGCTGGGATTACAGGCGTGTGCCACCACACCCAGCTAATTTTTGTATTTTTAGTAGAGATGGGGTTTCACCATGTTGGCCAGGATGGTCTCGATCTCTTGACCTTGTGATCTGCCCACCTCGGCTTCCCAAAGTGCTGGGATTACAGGCATGAGCCACTGTGCCTGGCCTTCTTTCTTTTTTTTTAATTGTAGAGACAGCGTCTTGTTATGTTCAGGCTGGTCTAGAACTGCTGGTCTCAAACCATCCTCCTTCCTCAGCCTCGCACACTGTTGGGATTACAGGTTTGAGCCACTACACCTACTCCCTATTTTTTTCCCCTGGTAACTGATGTATAATATTCATTGTGTGGCTATAGATGTATCATCCCTTTTTTTTTTTTTTTGAGATGGAGTCTTGCAACTGTTGCCCAGGCTGGAGTGCCATGGCATAATCTCCAATCACAGCAACCTCCACCTCCTGGGTTCAAGCGATTCTCCTTCCTCAGCTTCCTGAGTCACTGGGAGTACAGGTGCTCACCACAATGCCTGGCTAATTTTTGTATTTTTAATACATAACGGGGTTTCACCATGTTGGCCAGGCTGGTCTTGAACTTCTGACCTCAGGTGATCCACCCACCTCGGCCTCCCAAAGTGCTAGGGTTACAGGCATGAGCCACCGTGCCTGACCGTTTATTTAGGTAACACTGTGTTTGTATGCTAGTGGAGGAAAACTGATGATGAGGGGACTAAGTGCTGGAGTGACATCCTTGTCCAGGTACAGGATGGGTTTCAAGGCAGAGCTAATGGCCTTGGAAGATGGTAGGTTTTAGATGTGGTGGTAGCATGGGGAAATTCTCTTCTAACTGCATATCTTACTGAAACAATATGGTCATCAGCTGACAGGAAAGTGGGGAAGAAAGAGGAGATACTGGAAATTGTATGAGAGGTCTCATTACAGAGTAAATGGATAAAATGTAATACCTTTGCCCGAGAACACCAGTTCATTTGAGATCAGTGGTATGATCTGGGCCCGCAGGGTTGTATGTTTTTCTCCAGCTATTCAGCTAAATGGTGTAGGCACCAAGTCTGGTTAACAGTTAACAAAGGAGGGGTTTTGCCAGGTGAATATGGTGGGATAACGGGGGCAAGGGAGTGAATAAAACTAGCTTAAGCTGGGTAAGGAGGAATGAAGGACGTGAGTAGGAGAGAAGGACAGTGATGAAGGTAGTAGAGCCAGTGGGTTGTATGTCCTTGTGGTGTTTAGAATTCTTGCACTGGGGGCATCAGGCATGACTGGGAAGGCAAGAGTCAGAGTGGGATGCCTGGAATTGAAATCATAGAGAGCACTTACAATGTCAAGGTGTAGGCTGGGTGTGGTGGTTCACACACACCTGTAATCCCAGCACTTTGAGGATCTGAGGCAGGAGGACTGCTTGAAGCAAGGAGGTTGAGATCAGCTCGAGCAACAAAGTAAGGCCCCATGTCTAAAATTAAAGAAATAGCTGGGCATGGTGGCGCACACCTGTTGTCCCAGATGCTTGGTGGGCTGAGGAGGAGGATTAGGATTGCTTGAGCCCAGCTCAAGGTTGCAACCAGCTATGATCAGGCCATTGCACTCCAGGTTACTGGAAGCAGCATCTGCATGGCTAGTGAAGTCACTAAGAATTATGACCAGAGTAACCTCGAGGGCGGGATGACCATGAGCTAGGTCTGTGAGGAGCTGGGGGATGGGCCTGGGGTTAGTAGGTATAACAAGACTGATAGCATCAGCCTTCTGCAGGGGTTTTAGGGAAGGACACCATTGGAGGCAGCAGTGAGGGACAAGGAGGACATCTTACCCTGACCTTGTGGTGGTGGTAGGAGGGGAGTGACAGGGGAAACAGGGCTGCAAGGCAACTAGGAAAGAAGGTGAAGGGAACATTCAAAGCAGAGGTGGAGGACGCAGTGGGGTAGTCTTGCTGAATTCTGAGGGGTAAAGTGAATGAGTTTCTGCAGTTGGGAGGAGAGGGAGATGATGGAGGTCATAGCAGGGGATGTACATGAAGATGAAAATCTGGGTGAGGAAGAATGATAGGGTTTGAAGGGTGAGATAAATTACGAGATTTACCAAGAAAACTGGGGCTCTGGGCTCACTTTCATCTTGCCAGCAAGGCCTGGCCTCACCTGGAGCACAGGGAGCTCAAGCTCAACTTACAGGAAGGAAGAGGACAGTGGGTCCAAGGTCCGGTGAGTTAACTGCTGCTCCTCACAGGGGCCTCCTTTGACAGTTCCTGCTGCCCTCCCTCTACTGTTGCAGCATCCTGTGTCATCTTTGTGGTCGTTGGGGTCTCTCTTCTCCTCCCTGAGCTTTGACTGATGTATAGGTAAGCATTTGTGTAAAATGTTCCTATTGGCCCATACTTTTTTCCCCCCATACATTTAACAGATACTTAGCAGGCACCTTTTTAGTACTGGGAATAATCTGAACACAACAAAAATTCCTGTTCTCATGGATATAGAATTCCCACAGCTCGAGTTCTTATTTTGAAGTACTGCACTGCAGGTCTCATATATCGTTACAGCCAAACTGAAATGCAGACACATTGAAAGCTGTCTTTATCCTTGATGCCAATTTCCCAAGTCTATCTTCCATTCATACCTGAGCTTAGTAACTTGTTACTTTTGGAATGTTAGCAAACTACAGAGGATCTGTATTTTTTCTTTGAGACACAGTCTTGTGCAGTCACCCAGGCTGGAGTGCAGTGGCACCATCTCAGCCCACTGCAACCTCTCCCTCCTGGGTTCAAGCGATTCTCCTGCCTCAGCCTCCCAAGAGGAGGGAACTACAGGCACACGCCACCATGCCCAGATAACTTACAGTAGAGATGGGGTTTCACCATGTTTGCCAGGGTGGTCCTGACCTCAAGAGATTTGTGCACCTGGGCCTCCCAAAGTGTGGGATTGGAGGCGTGAGCCACTGCGCCCAGCTGAGCAGCTACATTTTTAACAAAAATGCATTAAGGAGTAAGGTGATATCCTAATATCCATTCACACTTGAGTCAGTTTAATGAAGCAGTTTGTTAAGAGAGACAGTTTTCCTCGAGTCTCCATTTTGTCCAGGAACTGATGCTGCAGAGTACTAGTCTGATCTGTTCAATCTGTTTTCTTTCAGGTGGCAATTGTTGTATTAGGAAACAAAATTGACCTTTCTGAGCAGAGACAAGTGGACGCTGAAGTGGCACAGCAGTGGGCAAAGAGTGAGAAAGTGAGACTGTGGGAGGTGACTGTTACCGATAGGAAAACTCTGATTGAACCATTCACTTTATTAGCAAGTAAACTTTCCCAACCCCAGAGCAAATCAAGCTTTCCTTTGCCTGGGAGGAAAAACAAAGGGAACTCTAGCTCTGAGAACTAAAAATCAGTAATTCCACAATTGTATGTTGAATAGTGATTGCCTTTAAGTGTCTGTGAACGTGAAGTAATATTACCGTTTAAAATAGGCCATTTGTATCTACCTTTGGTCCTTAGGAAAATTCCTAAGGAAGTCGTTTAATGCACTTTAGATGTTACAATCAATTACTTGAGCTAAGTTTATTATTGCTTGATATGAAATAATATATTCTTACTCTCATTGTCTGAAACCTGTCTTTGAAGTGAGCACCTTTGTTATTTATGTCGTACTTGTAAAAACAGTAAAAAGTTTGGGGAGTTATGCAAATGACCTATGTGTAACTTCCCCCCAGCCCCAAGGTGTTTGAGAAGACATCACACTCATTCTGTGTAACATTATGCAAAGTGTTAAAGTAAATGAACAGAGCAGTATTAGGTGGTGGTTTTTAATATTGTTTATTAGCACAGTAACAAATGCAGACTGTAGTAGTCCACAACATATAACCAATCCACTGAGCAACTCCTATTCCACGCCTTACACTTAACAGCTTAAGGTATTTCACTACAGGTTTTCACGTCCTGATTCAAACCTTTTTAAACAAAGTAGATTGGCATATAAAATAAAACAGATTACTTCTTATATGGTGTTTTACAGCCACGTGTCCACTTTATATATATGAGATGACAGTCTCTAAAAACTCTGTTTAAATTATCAATGTTCCCTTCCATGAAAGGAAAACAAATTCAATTTTGTTTTAAACAAAAATTATGTAGTCTTAGAGGAACTTTACATAAATGGCCATGTGTGTAACCTGTACAAAATTAAGCTGTTTTAAATTTACAGACTAAAAGCAACTGAACCCAAATGTCTAAATGTACATTCTTTTCTGTACTACATTTCAGCTAATATTGCAGAACTAATGACAATTTAAAAAGTTGCTATTACCAATTCTGTCTACTGTAGCAAGATACCTTAAGTTACAACAAAATCTTAGGAAATAAGACTGAATAATATCTGTTATAGAAATACCCTACTCTTTACCAACTCCCACCCTCCCTGACCCCTTCAAAATCATAAGCAGCTCTCTTCTGTGACAGACAAATAATGTAAGAACTGTGAAAACCCAGTTTATGTAGCATATCTCTTGGTCCACTGTCTGGCCATTCTGTCATGTTCTGCTCTGTTGGTCATATACTGAGTGGCAATACTTCCCACCAACGGGTCGGCTGGAAGAAAAGAATGTAGATTACTTTGGAGAAAGGAAAAGAACATTTTAAACTTTAGCAAATAAATTAGTGACAGCTTGGGTAGACATGTACAACAAAGTATGTGTGATCAAACCCATCTTTGAAACCCCACCATGCTGGATATTTTTCTATTAAAATTTTAAAAATGTGGGGGAAGAGAGAATGCTCAGGCTTCAGTGTACTGGTCAGTCTTTATCTTAGTTCATTCCATTTTTCTCCCAACAAACAACCAATTGGAGTGTCTGCACTCTTATGTGTTAGGCTGAGTTCAATACAGACTGGAACGGTCAGAGCCCCAGACTACAGTGAATATCCAACTGTGTTCACGTCACCTTTGGTTCAATGTCACCAATTACAGCATTGTGAATACTGTGAAGTCTTTGGGGCTGTTGCAATGCAACACTATTTACCTTTATGCTGGATAAAGAGCCAGGCTGCCAGGTCAAAACCTGGACCTCCAATTAAGTATAGTGTTTCTCTGAATCTTAGGATCTTTAATAACTAAATTTATATTTGATTTACCTAGAAAATCATACATATACATATATGTGTGTACGCATGTGCATTTGTATTGTGAATGTGTGGTTATTTTTTTAGACAGGGTCTTGCTTTGGCACCCAGGCTGGAGTGCAGTGGCATGCTTATGGCTCACCACAGCCTTGAACCTTCTGAGTTCAAACAATCCTCCTACCTCGGTCTCCTTAGTACCTGAGACTACAGGAAACTCTTTTAAATGAAATGAAGTCCCAAAAAACTCACAACAGTCACTAAGTATTTAACAAATACCATTTCCAAAATTGAGTGCCATCTTAGTGGGGAACTCCATTGGCACAGGTGAGGCTTGTGAGGCAGATGGCTCGACATTTAGAATTATATGATTTGTTTTATAAGAACTGTATGGGAAATTAAGCAACAGGAAAAATAGAGAAGGAAGAATGACTGAAACTGTAAAAACCTATGGCAAACTTACATAAGTCTTCAGTTTAAAATACCTTGCTGCTAGAATATACCGATTAATGAAGTTATGTTTCTCAACTAGTAGACTTCTCTTAAAACTTTCTTTGAAAAGCAAATTTTTATATTCACAAAGTTGTACAGAAAAATTAGTTTTTAAAGCTTTTGAAAACAAGTATGTTTCAGGTGACGAGTAAAACAAGGTAAAGAATTATTAAGCTTACCAGGATTACAGTCTGTGAGAAGTGAGCAGATAGAAAGGAGGACTTTAGAAATGGTTAGTGCTGGACTCCAATTATCTTTCAATATGTCCAAGCAAATAACACCTTGACTGTTAATATTACAATGATAGATTCTTGTCCGAAATGTAACCTAGAAAAACAAGGAAGTGTCAAACAATATTTAAACAGCAAACAATTAAACTTTTTACTAAGTATTATACTGAATGACCCTAATTAGAAACCAAAAAAACTCCCAGATATGAAGGTTTTTAAAAAGGTGAATAAAAGCAGTTTTAATTAAAGCTGTCAAAAAAATAGACTTGTTTAATAAAGCTGATTAGAAAGTCTTCATTGATACCATTCACAAGAAATGTGTCAAGTTCATTTAATATGTTATGTCCACTGAAAGGTATACTTCCTAATTTCATCTTTGGCCATTTTAAATGTTTTAAATATTAACGTTTCTGAGTCTGAACAGCTAATTGTTGGCTGACCTCTTGTGTTAGCTGGCAGTACTACACTGCCTCAAAGTAAGCTTTGAGAAATACTGAGAAATATCAATACCTCTTAGAAACTGGAGTGCAACATAATGGGTACACAAAGATAATTAACATACTTAGCAAACAATGACCACACACCCAGAAAGCTTACCAAATTTGAAGACATATCTATTTCTGCTTTTTTCTGACCTTTACACCAGGTCCAGTAGACATCCTGTCTACCTAAATCACAGAATTTACTATTATAAAATCAAGTCTCCATGGATGCAGAGCCAGTAATGGGCAAGGGCCACAGCAGAACACAAGCCACGTGAGCATGTGTTATTTTGTTTGGTCTCTTAATTTTTATTTGTGAAATACACCGAAACACAAAGTAAAAATTACCTGTAATTTTACCAATTTTATTTTAAAAAGTGACTTTCAATTACTTCTTGTTGCTGCAATTGTACTTTCATCTGGCAGTCTAATCCCCAAGAAGGGGTGTTCTTTCTGACTGAATGAGAATCAGAGATGATTGAGTGTTAGGAGAGACGGGTGACTTGGGTAATCCCCACCTGACCTAGAAAGAAAATTGAGGCCTAGAGGTAAGGAAGTGAACAAGACCAACACATGACAGGGAGGAGAACAGAACCCAAGCCTTTGGTAAGAGATTCTCATTCTCTAGTTGTTGATGATTCTCTGGTCTGACCTGCTCTGCCCTGCCTTTTTTTGGGTCTTACTTTGTTGCCCAGACTGGGCTCAAACAATCCTCCCAAGTAGCTGGACTACAGATGTGCACCACTGCACCTGGCTTGATACCATTTTTAACTGTTCAGAAACCTGTCTCTATGGGCTGGAAAACAGGAGATTAACTATAGCTTGCTGACATTACTTTCAATAGCACAATTTTAAGCATAATCAAAACAAAGCCCTTACTCCTAGAATGGTCTCTGCCAGGTAAGGCAAAAATCAACCTCAAGTATTTTGTGTATGTTAAAATACTCAGATCCATTAAGACATAAATGTAGTTTTTGTGATTAAACATTAAATTTAGAAAATCTCAACAGTCTCTCTCGTGGGAATTAGTAAATTTGAGCATAAATCAAGGAAATGTCTTACCTTTGGAGGCTTGAAGGGATATTCTGGTGTAAAAGTGATATCAAGAAAGAATACACCACCCTCATACACGGATCCTGGAGGCCCTAGAATGGTTGATCTCCATTCATAGATGTTATCGCCTTTGGGACCAGCACTGTGAACAGTACATCAACAGATAAGCAGATGGTGGCACTGCCTTTTTTTTTTTTTTTTTTTTTTTTGAGATGAAGTCTCACTCTTAGCCCCCAGGCTGGAGTGCAATGGTGTGATCTCAGCTCACCGCAACCTTCACCTCCCACGTTCAAGTGATTCTCCTGCCTCAGCCTCCTGAGTAGCTGGGATTATAGGTGCCTGCCACAACGCCCAGCTAATTTATTTTTAGTAGAGACAGGGTTTCACCATGTTGGCCAGGCTGGTCTCGAACTCCTGACCTCAGGTGATCCGCCCAACTTGGCCTCCCCAAAGTGCTGGTATTACAGATGTGAGCCACCATGGCTGGCCAACTATCCCAATTTTTACAGTGTATTAAAAAAGATTCTCTCTCTCCTCCCTTTTTGTTTACTGTGTAAATTCTCTTTATAAAACAAGTACCAAAACGGATGTAGAACTACAGCAAACCCATTGCCACTGCCGAGTAAACTGGATGATAAAAGAACGTTAAAACCATTCTAAGCCCAACTAGCTTTGAATAAGCAGGAAACTCCTCAATTCTCAACCTGTCCTTGACATGTAAGAAAGTGTAAACAATACTTAAAATGAGAAACACATCTTAGCACCTAGAAGCTACATTAGTGACAAATGACAGAAGATTTTGCTCAGAGCTACATTTATGACCATTTTAAGCACAGAAGTTTCATTTTCTGATCCACTAACTGGCTCTTCCTTGCTCTTGTATCTCCATAATCTCACCTCAAAGGAATCTAACAGATGGCCATACTGTTTACATTATAAACCATGTTAGCTGGGAGGAGGAGGGGAATGGTAAGTATCCAGTTACAGGTTATTCAATTTTCATTTTAACATGCATTCTATCATTGGGTTCTCTAAATATTAATAATTGGGACATTCATCCAACCCTGTTAGCTGTTGTTAGAAATCACTGTTACATACACTTGGGTCCACCGTAATTTGGCCACGATACCATTCCAAAGAATTGTGTTGGCTTCTAGAACGCCAACATAGTATATTCAAGTACATTAAGAAAAGTTTTAAAAACTTAAAAACCTATGAAGAGCTTAATATACCTGCCCA